TTTCCCCCCCCCCCCCACCTCTTGGGCTTGCAGTTTTAGATTATGTTCAGTATAAAGGACACTGGCCAAGCTGCCATAAATTTTCAAAATGAAAAAAATTAATATTTTAAGAAATTAGGGAGTCTCAATGTATTGATGTTGAGCAAGGAACATGGTAGGCCTGGGTGTGGCTGGCTGCAGTCCAGAGATAAAAGAGTTGTTTCCTTCTTGTATTTTTTTTTCCTTGTACTTTTTATTTGTGTTAAGTTTTGATACTTCTTATAATTACCTTGGGTATTTCATCCATCCAATCCCCTTCGTTGAAGCATCGTCCCCTTCCCATCATCTCTTCCTATAGAAAGCACCTTCAAGTCATAGCATTATACTATTAAAACATCTATAGATTTCAAATTCTGACAATAGCAGTCATACTTAAAGTTTATTGATATTTTGTTTAAAAAAGGTATGATACATTAGATATTCTCACCTGATATTCTTGAAGAAGGCAGGAGAAATAATTTGCTTCCCCATCCCAGTATGAGATTGTTTTTTGTGTGATATCCACAACCTATGAATCAAGATAGATGTTTTAAAGTGTGAACACTACAGAATAAAGAAATATGATCATCATTACTAAATATAACTATCTATTCTTTAACCATAATAATAATATATATTCAATAAAGAAAAGCATACCCCAAGAGCCCAATGACGAGGGAGTTGCACTGGTATCAAAAGTAAGTCATACTGTCCAGTATATTAATCTGCAAAAACGAGAAAGGTAAACCAGTTATCTTTTTGGTATATTATAGCTATATGCTTTCCAACAAAACAATCTGACAGTACTAAAGAATAGTGTCTGAGTTATTTCACCATTTTGGTTCAGTTGGCCATCCACCTTGCCCCACATACACCTCGATAGCTTGTCATAGAAGAATGAATTAAAGCAGTAGGCTCTTGGGAATGCTGAAGACTAAACAGTAAAGGTAAGACAGAAGTCACGCAGGTTTTATTAAAATGAAATTCAGTAGTACAGGCAAAGACTCGGATATACAGGTGACTGTTAGGCTTATGGTTATGCTCATACTATCTTCTCTTTTCCTTTGGCTTGAGTATTAGTAGCAATATATATATCTCTCTGATTTCATTAAAACGTGGGCACTAGGTTTTTGCCTGCAGTCCAGTGTCCAAAAAATTAGGGGGCTTCGCGATGCCCTAACAGTGGGTGGGTGGATCAGACCAGGGAGTCAAAACTAGTGGGGTAGGAGGGGGCTGTTTTGACACAACCCCTTCTGTGTTCAGTAGAGGTTTTGACTGGCAACTACCTTTTTCTTAATTTACCCTAGCCAGCTGAATCAGGCCTCTGCTAAGAATGATTATCATGATAATTGCAGAGCTCAGTGGGGGGCGTGGACAGTCACCCATTGTCCTTGGTGGGGAGGGTCAAGTTAAAGTCTTGATACCAAGGACACACTTAGGATAGGACCTGTAGGGCTCCAACCTGTAGACACTCACTAAAGATTCAGTCAGATATCAAACACCTGAAAAAGGAATTTGTCGGTCAAGAACATACAATACGTTTTATTTCTTTAAGGGTGTAAAGGTTTGGGATTGGGGTATGGGGCAAGGAAAAGTTGGGACATGCATTATAGACCCGCTGTACATATGTGAGTAATTTTATCTTGCTTAAACCAAGGATCCTCTTTTGCAATATAAGCGGAGGGTACTTCCCTTGAGCCATAAGGGGGTGCTATGCAAAAAGACCTTAACTACCGGAAGGTTTTTGACTGAGATCTTACTAGTGCAAGAGCCAAAGAATAAGTTATTAACTAGCTGTTATGGTCCTGACTTGTGTGCAGTGGCGTTTCCCACTTCTAGCCGAAATTTGTGTATATATAGTGATGCTGCATACGAAGCAAGTTCCGGAAAGAACGTGTGGCACAGTACTACCCTGCGAATAAGAAGCTAAGTTTTTCCAAGTTAACCTGAATAGGGTCTTATAAAAGCGATAACTATAACAACTTTAGGATATTTAGATTCTTTTTAAGTAGGTTCTTATTTTCTGAAGAAAAACTTACATGGTAGTTATATGAGTCTAGTGCTGTTCAGCACAAAAAAAAATGCTTAACAGAACAGTGACGGATCCAGACTTTCAGATAAGGGGGGAGCCCGGTCATCCAGACCCTGAGATAAGGGGGGGGGCGGTCTCAAAAAAAAATCTTTTAGGCCGTTCGGGCCTCAGTTTGGACTAAAAATAAGGGGGCCCTCCCCTGGAACCGCCACTGCAGTAAGAATAGTTGAAACTGACCACAGCTATTTCGAGAAAGGTTGTCGGAAAAAAGTGCACAATCCCGAAAGGTATTGTGGGTGGTTTTGAGTTCACTGTTCTTTAAAGAAATTTGAAAGAATGACACGAGAGACCATGGACATATGTTTGTGAGTGCTTAAGGAAAGCAGAAACAGTAAGTTCGACAGCTACAGTGTCAGGAACAGTGTATTGATCATATCCCATATTACCTTTCGGGATTGTCGTGTACACATTTTTTCCGGCAACCTTTCTCGAAATAGCCGTACGCTGTAATAAGAAAAGCTAATGCACTGACAAGGCTAATCAGGTTCTTGTATAGGGGTGTCGAACTGACAAACATTAGCCTAAACGGTTCTTAACAAGGTCGGTCTTACCTACGGATTAGAATTGTATGATAGACCGACGTTTAGACAAAGTATCTATTTAAGATAAAGAGCGAAACGGTTACTCCTAAAATTTTTCTTATCATGGATAGTCGAAAGTCGTTTCTTTATCACAACGGTAAACTGCTCTAATTTGCACTGGCCCTCGTTACGTGAAATATTTCTCTTTACAGCGAAAAAGAGCTATTTGGAATATAGCTACATGACAACAGCTGGTAGAATCTTTTAAAGTTTTGCTCTGTTGTAATAATTGGAGGTGAAGTGCTGAGGTTAACTTCACTGTAACTTAATTCTCATACAGTTCAGTGGGATATTCATGCGGGTATTTGGCGACATGGTTCATGCATTCTTGGTGTTGTTTTTGCAAGCGAGACGGTAGCTTGTCATACACATCAGTAAACATATCTCTCACAGGCGGTTTTAATGCTTTGTCAGCTCTTGAGAGTGCTTGCATGACTTGGTGAAGAGAATCTTGTTTCCACTCTTCTTCCACTTCACTGTTCCACCAGTTTTTGTTCTCCATGTATCGTCTAGTAGTAAATGAAAATCGTGTAACATTTGAGTTTTGTCATTTATTATGACCCAAGAAACCCTGCGAGATATATTCCGTCAATGCAAAGTGGATACCCTTTGAAAATGCTGGCTGGGGTGATAGCTTCAAACAGGATCGTACGGCGTTAAAGTAACTCAAGACGAAACGACGATGAAAAGAAGGAATAGTCAAAAAACGAATTAACTTCAAAAAGTTTTCTGCCTCTTCTTGTGCCAAAGAAATAGACGATATTGCATGGGCGCTTGGGGATACGAATGTTATCTTCGAGTGCTGAAAGTATCTCTCACGAGTGAGCGAAGCGAACGAGTGAGAGATACTTTCAGCACGGCACATATACTTTCAGAACAGCACACTTTCTAAGAGCTCCAAAATGAGAGGAGGCTCCCTGACTTCCCCAATGAAAGGGGTTAGCCCCAAGACGAGCCTTTCGATCTAATCAGTTGATGTTAATGTTTTTCTTCTTCCACTTCAAATTTTCTGGACAACCTTGTTCATATTAGGTTGGCGTTCCCATCAATGACACACGATGCATGATCTTTCATGAGAATGACCGAAAGCTCCTTAGTCCTCGATATTGCGTGAGACAAGTGACCCATTGGTTAGAAATCTAAGAAAGTAGACAACACGGTTTTGACGCTAGGAACTTTGATAAACTTTTGCTTACTTACCTAAGCCTCACAATTGGATTGAGTTCTGTTTTCCAGTAATCGACTTCCTTTGATGAGCGGTGCATTGCTTTATCATCACTCGCCATAGTGCTGTGATCTCCAGTCCTTTAGAAGGGATTTTGAGTAATTTTAATTGAAAAGCCGACAAAGTAATATGGCGCGAAAATATTACTCTTGGTTTTTTTTGTAAGCCGTCATCAGTATAGAGCAAGCAGGCGGCTGCACGCATTATTTTCTTAGTCGACGTATGTAGCTTACCCCCGATTCCAGACTTAACAAAAGTAGTGTATCACGAACCGTTTACTCCTGTTTTGAAAAAGGGACATAAGGAGTATATAGCGCGAGTCAGCGGTTATTCCCATCTTTTTCTTAGTCGACATAGTAGTATAGTGCAAACTATTTACACCCGATTTTGCATTCAACATAAGTAGTATAGCACGAAACGATGAATTCTGCGTTAATAAGCCGACATAAGTAATATAGTGTGGACTGATAACTCCTTTTTTCTATTCCACCCACGGCACCTAAGGTACACCACCGAACCACATTAGATGACCTCACAGGTTGCGTTCCTTTAGGTAGATTTTGATTATGATTAGTGATCCGAGATCACCTGGATCAGCTTCATTCAAGGAAGAGGTGAATTCTTGACCTGAATGTATCCATCAGAGCATTGGAGACACCATGATGGCAGTGACCTCGGATCTCGGATCACCGATCTTGCTCCGAATCATCTCGAAGGAACGCACAGAATAGTATATTGCGCAATTTGTTTTATCCTTAGAAACCCAGATATTTTCTCTAAAACAACTGTTTTTAAAGACTTTCAAAAAATATTATCTCCTTCTTCTGACAGTTTCCAAAAGTATATAGGTAAGCGATATGGCGGAGATGGAACTCAGTAGCACTTCTAAAACGAGTAAATTAGCGTCTTCTTTATCTTACCTGTAAGTCATGGCTTCAATCAAAACAGGTCTCTGTTGATTTACTGCCATGTCACGTGCTGCTTTGGTAACGTTATAAACCGCAAACACATCATTGCCATCCACTCGAATAGCCATCATCCCATAGCCCCTGCTACGCCCAGCTTAAAATAAAGGATACAATATGTTTTACCTTTCACAGTTCAGGAAACACTGGGATGTGATGACTGTGCAAACTTTTAATTCATTTTATTCTTTACACTTGTAAGGTTGCTTTACCTTTTGTATTTGTGGACAAAATCCTGTAATAGTGAAATAGTCTGAAATGTCCGTCGTCTCTTTGCCCCACCCCCACCCACAAATGGGCGGCCAGGCGAGAGACTGGATAACAGGACAGCAGGAAGAAGAGGACGGCAAATCGCATGCGCGTGACAAACGTGACAAGGCTATTACTTAGGCTATTACGTGCGTATTTTGTCGTGATCGTCCCTAACATCAATTTTTTTTGTGGTCTTTTACAAAAAGATCTGTTTAAAGGAAAGTGAAGTTTGGCGAAACGTTATTTCAAACAAAATCATTGTCACTCTTGTCACACAAGGTTTGCCGTCTTCTTTCCTCTGCCGTCCTGTTGCGTAAGTTCACGAATAAAGAGATTAAGATTCACGTTTACGCCAAACGGCAAACGTGAATTTGCACCACGTGACCTAGTTTCCCCCTTAATTGTCGTTTACTGTTTATTACTTCTACCCCAAGATGAGTAGTTTCAAGCCAGTTTTCTCCATAAGAGGTGTTCTGGACAGTTTTCATCTGCTTATTTTTCTCTCTGAGAAATTCTCAACTTGAATCTGACGTTTGCCGTTTGTCGTAAACGTGAATGTTAATCTCTCTAATGTCTTCCCGTGACGTCAAAAACTTTTGCGTAAATGGTAAGTTGGTTCGTCGGGCCGCCCGTTTAGGGGCGGGGGGAAGAGGTTGCTGGTGCAAAGAGACGACTGACATTTCAGATTAATGGTGTAACTATACTCAAATGAAACCTATTTTGCGTTACTTTCACATGGTACTATTTTCATCATTTCACAAGACGAAATGTGGAAATTGTATTAAATTTCTACTTTAGCCATTCTTGCTGGAAAGAGGTTAAGAGGTAATTGTCAATATAAATGTTAAAAAAAATATTAAGGAGCAAAACACAACAGTGATAATTAAAAACGTTCAAGAAGACTGCCATGAGCTTTTGCTTTGGTACGACTGACCTAAGGTATACTCACCTATTCCATCCCCTCTGTATTGCTCATCCGTAGGAGTAGATATTGCATAACCATTGTTACGACTGTTGATACAGAGAAGAGAAAAAGCTGCTCAATGAAGAGACCTCCAATTTCAGTATATATTCTCAATAACATCTAATCACAAAAGACCGAAGGTAGAAAATGGTATCATAATGTATATTTAGCCTCGTTGGGGAGAAAATTTATCAAAATTGCTTTTGGGTCTGTTTCAGTTGATTGGCTCGACGCGCCCTTAGTTTGACGTCTGACCCCACAGACGTTCTTAACTTAATTTAGGTCGAGCCAAATTAGAGTTTGGCTCGTCTCATGAAAGTTTGACATTTGGCCTAGGCCTAACTGGTTGAAATCTGAAGTTTGCAGATCAATTCTATGCTCTCATTGCCCTCCGTCTTCCCGTGGACGTTTCCCAGCGACGTATTGCGATGAGAGGCTGCTATTTTTCCGGGTAATAAAATGTTACTGTCATTAAAAAAACAGACAGAAAAGTAGGTCCGCAAACATCTTCGAGAAGTCGATAGAAAGGAAAACTAAGATGCATCAAAGCATGCCGCGCTCCATTTTAATCTTCTCAATCATTGTAGCCGAAATGGAAAGCCGCAGAATCTTTGAAATCGGCACTCCAAATAACTGAACGCTATTCACTCGACTACTCTAATCTTGTTTTTCATCTTCATGTTCCCATAAACGGTTGGTCACCACGGTAGTCTACGTCCTGTTCTCTTTTCGAACAACAACGTGGGTTATTTTACGTGCCACAAAGGCCAAATCACTGTGTGGGTTATTTTAAAGAGAAACTACGGTTTTTAGTACTTTTCTAAGATTCTAAGTAGACTAGATTGTTAACCCATCTGTATTTTGCCCGCGTAGAGGCAGGCAACACATTCTTCATCTATAATTTCAGTTAAGACCCTGAGTGTTGGTTCAGTCGAAAATCGAACCCAGACCCTTTCAACGTCTCGTCCGCAAGAAACTGGGGAAGCCAATCGGTAACACGCCTCTACCTACAAAACTACATTTTCCATGATTGCCAAATTCACAACTCAGATTGTGTGTAAGCTTTTTAACTATCGTTATGTTGAACATTACCAGAAGAAAACAACAGGTGCTTCCAGAGTTGCAGCGAAATTGAATGCTGCATGTGCATCTCCTTCGCTTGCAGTTCCTTCACCAAAGTAGCAGATGACACAGTTTCCAGTGCCGGCTCTTTTCATTGCATAGGCATATCCAGCTGCTGAAACAGAAAGATATTGTCAGAGTCGTCGCATGTAAAGTAATCCAGAATCCGGGAAATTTTTGCATGTGGAATCCGGAATCATGGGCCTTGGAATCCGCAATTCATCTTAAGGAATCCAATCCCGAACCCAAGCTCATATGACAATGAATCCGGAACCACAGCTTGTGAAATCCAGAATCCAAGTTTGTCTTGGATTACCTAACATAGGTCGGGGACGATAGGGGAGATTTGAGATTTACCATAGCCCACGTTCCATGTATATAAAGTTCTAACATGACTCCGAGGCTTTAGGGCCAAAATTGCAAACTTTTCACGACTCCATTATGTCGCAATTCCCAGAAGAGACTTGAGCACAAAGAAAACCAAACTAAATATAGAAAAATGACCATAAAGCCTCGGAGTGATTTTACTTGAACCGTGAAACAGATAATAACAAGTAGGTCAAGTAGTGCAAAACAGCAAGAGGTACACAAAAGAATACAATGGGATTAGTGCGTAATAGCGCGTAGTATTCTACGACCTGTTTCACGGGTTAAGCAAAATCACTTTATTTTATCAGAAAAGGTAACATAATTGGGCAATTTTTTAAATGATAAAATGTGATCTGTTCGTTGACCAGAGTTAGTTTAAGTGTTTTTACTGATTTTACAAAAAGAAGAGCTAATGGGCTGGCATCCGAGTGGAGTTACAAGAACCAGAATTCGAGTTATCGGGGTAAACTTCAGTGAATCAAGGGAAATGAATTAGTTAGAGCTAGAAGGGAATTCGAGTTATCCAAGTAAACATGACTGAAAAGTAGGTGAAATCCAAGGGAAACTGGACTTACTTCGAGTTAGCAGGGAGTTCGAGTTATCCGAGTTCTAGTTATTGGGGTTCTACTTTATTTTCGCGCTCGTATTACAAGTTTTGTCATGCCCTATGACACAAAACATGTGATCACGTAGTGACTACTTAAATAAACGTGGACCTCATTTAAGGGCGGCTGTACACAGACAAATCTCATTTAATTTCAGGTATCTCTTAACCTTAACTTGCATCGTACTGTTGTTACTAGTAATTTACAATCTAATGTTTGACATTCAAAGGTAACCTTAACATAACACAGTTAACACTTACTAACCTTGTGGCATCTGAGTAGCAAGGGGGGATGAAATAGTAACAAAGTTAAGATCTTTAGAACCATAATCAACTGGCATTTGTCGTCCTTTTCTATTGTCATTCCGATTAGAAAAGCACTGGCTCATGTATTCGTCTATTGTGAAGCCTCTTGACATCAGCACACCAGCCTCACGGTACTGGGCGAACATTACATCTTCAGGCAACAGAGCAGCCGCGCTACCAAAATGAGTGCCTTCTTCACCATAGTTTGTCATGTAAAATGATATCCGTCCATATGAAATGGAAACGCAAATGGTGCCGGTGTTCCTCTCTTTCCAGCCATTGGCTAAATAGCTTAGGAACCGAAGAGGTGAGATTGGACGACAGCGTGTTTAAAGACGCATTCTGCATCCGCTTAAGCCGGTTCCTGTTTGGACCCCTCAGGGCCCGCACCTCGCCCACACAGACAAGTGATGACGGAGCAAGTGGGATAGACCATAACATCGGGGCCTAGGTCCCCTACACTTTCCGAACAGTGTCAAGGATTCTTTTACAGTTTCCTTCCAGCTGATTTGCATGGTTATTTAAAGGAGACAAGGCCAATGGTTTCACTCCACCGGGCAATGACACTATCATCTGACCTGAAAAAAGCGTTTTAATCGCGGCTAGCATAGTCTTACCAGTTTTTGCGGGAGAAAGGAGGAGCCCGCAATCCTAATCTCCAAGTTGCTATTACGCATGCGTCCCATGCATTCGTTTGGACTCCGACTAAGAATGAATGGAATGCACACAGAACGCATTTTGAACAGGCGCGTTTGGCCCTTCTGTCAATCGTAATCTGATCACACGTATTTTTATCATCTGTCACGTGCAAACTTACGCAAAGCACACCGCTGGAGCAAGAGCATTTTGGACCTCCGATCGTTGTCGCCCGCACTCTCTAACCATTGGTTATTACTTAAGACTTTTTGGTGGTCCTGCAGGGGTGTGAGCTCACGGCCTCATATTCAGCACACCGGTACTCTACCAACGAGCAAACTGGGCGCCGGTAAAATTGTAATAATTATGTTTTAGTTTCTGATATTTTGAAAGGAAGCCAATCGCCTAAAATATATCACTTTATAAAACAACTAAGATAGTACGCGCGCTATTATTGGCCGAGAGGAGTGTTTGCATGATAGTATGTAAACATGGTTGTGGCGTCAAGTTGTTTGGTTTTTCGCGCACTAATCACGCAAGCACGAATTTGAAAAAGGTTTCGAGTTCAAAACTCAAAAAGTTTACTTGATTTACCCACTCCTTCGTCGGCTGAAACATTTTAAGCGAGAAAAATCCGTATTTTGCAAAGCATCTTTTTGCAAAACAAGAATTGATTACGCGTGCAAGACTTTGTGGACAAGATTTTGCGACTGGAAAGAATTTCTCTTTTAATCAGTGCCATACAAAGACTTCTGCGTTTTTTTCTCGGGAAAGTTATTTTTTAAAAGCAATAGAAAAATAGTTCCTGTGTTTGCATAGCTTGATATAAACACTCGAGGCGTTGGGAGAATTCTCGACGGTTATGCGAACCCTCGACTTCGTCTCGGGTTTGCATAACTGTCTCGAATTCTCCCAACCCCTCTCGTGGCTATGCAAACACGGAAAACGTTTTCTATTGCGTAAATGTTAATTTTAGTGGATCTCAGTGCCGTCTTTGACACTGTTGATTATGGAATACTTTTAGAGGCTGGTATGTGTGGGACTGCTCTGAATTGGTTTAGATCGTACTTGTCTGATAGAAGTCAGAACGTTTCTGTACATGGAGTTCTTTCTCGTCCTTTTGACTTGAACTGCGGGTACCCCAAGGTTCATGTTTAGGGCCTTTGCTATTCATAATATGTGCGTCCAAGTTGTTTAAGATCGTGGAACCTTATCTTCCCGATGCTCACTGTTTCGCAGATGATACTATACGCAGCTGTATCTGAGTTTTAAACCACTCGGCAACACTGCTCAAGCTGATGCGATACAAGCAATGGAAAAGTGCATTGACGCGGTGAGGAAATGGATGATTCAAGATCGGTTGATGATCAATGATGATAAAACGGAGTTTTTGCTGCTTGGCACACGACAACAGCTTGATAAACTAGATTTGCGTTCCATTACTGTGGGCAATAATCGTATCAGTCGAAGCCCATGTGTTAAAAACCTTTTATCGAGGTTTGATAGCAACTTAAGTATGACTGATCATATAAACAAGGCTTGTACTGCGGCATTTAAATATTTAAATAACTTGAGACGTATTAAGAAATACCTGTCGAGAGATTCTTTAATTACTTTGGTTCATGCTTTTATAACCAGCCGTCTTGACTATTGTAATGGTTTATTGTTTGGCTTACCAAATGTGCAGATCGCTAAATTACAGCGTGTACAAAATGCAGCAGCAACACTTATTCTTGGCATCGGAAAGTTTTCTCTCATTACACCGGCGCTTTATGAGCTTCACTGGCTGCCGGTTTCTTTGCGTATTGACTATAAGATTTTACTTTTTGACTTTCAAATGTATTTATGGCCTAGCGCCAGCTTATCTTAGCGATCTTATTAGTATAAAATCGAATTCATTATATAATCTTAGGTCTTCTGGTAAGCTCTTATGGGACCATCCCAAGGGAAAGATGCTTACAAGCTCCGAAACTCTGGAATGGCTTACCTGTGGAGCTTCGTCAAGCAACATCACCTAGCAGTTTTAAATCTCGACTTAAAACCTATCTTTTTAAGAAGTATTTTTATAGTTTGTAACTTAGGTTATTTTATTCTCACGGTAATGTATTTTCGTTTTCTCTTTAACATATGATTGTAAAGCGCTATTGATCAGCATATGTAAATACGCGCTATATAAATTGGTAAATTATTATTAAAATGTTATAGTTAAATTTTTCCGACCCTAGTAAACCTAATTAAAGACAAGTAAGCAAGATGTTAAGTTATGAAAGGAATATCTCGAGACTTAGCCATCCTCTTGTTTTAACTTTGTCCTCGTAAAATGTTGATTGTGATCAAGTCTTAAGGCATGACCACCGTCCTAAGTGAACCTGATCATTCCACGCTCGCTTGACAGTTGGTCAAGTTTCATTGGACCATTCCTGAGCTGCCCAAAGTCTCTTTTTGAATTTACAAGGGTAAGGGTGAAAAAAAGAACCCCGCTCGTTAGTTTGGTACCCATCCCATTCTACATTGCTCGTGACCTGTTAAATGCCAGTCCACCATCTTTGACGAAGCGTGCGAGACAGCTCTGCATCATTGAGGCAAGGGCGCAAAGATAACGAGCTTCTGTTTGCAAGTAAAGACGCACGCATTACACATCTAGATTTTACTTTGTGCATTCTATTTCAAGATTTTGAAGATTCACAGGAAATAACTCCAATTTACTTTTTAGGTCATTCGATTTCTTGTTAATTAATTTTACCCTGGTTGGTCCTGTATGCTTGACGCTTTGGATTGCAACAATAACATCCAGAGCAAATTAAAATAAAAGGAAACTTATTTTTGTATAAAAGGAATTGAATTTGGCCTCAATCTGGTGTTTTAGGCTCAGAAATGCTGGGACTACAGCGAGGGCTGGGGAGGGAGGAGAAAGATTTTCTTTTCATGGTGGAGACCAATTTATTTCATCCGTTTAATTTGAAATGGTCCCATTCATGTTTTGTTACATAAATATAACATCAGTAACATATTTTTCGATGCTTCCAATGCTGATAAATCCTGTAAATACATGAAACAATTCGAGAACTATGATTTTAAGATCAAAGAATGAAAAAGTCAACAAGAAACCGTCAGAAGGTCTTCCATAAAGACAAAATGGAACACTGAAAATGTCCAGAAAACGTTTTTGGACAGTTGGAAAGCACCTTAGATGATAGGTGCAGCTATTTTAAAACCACGGACATCGTTCAGTATGATTTATTCCATTGTAAATAGTTTGAAAACAGATCAATTTAGCTGTTTACCTTTTAATTCCAATCGAGGGACTATAGAGCAATAACTTATAATAACTGAAAATTTTGGGTATCCATATTATTAAAGGATACTTAGTTTCAGATGCATTTCCAGTCTAGAGCACTTGAATTTCAAATTTTAATAATAATAATAATAATAATAATAATAATAATAATAATAATACACTTTATTGAAAGAGGGTAGCACGGAATAGTTACAGAAACTAGTAAACTTGTGGCCCTACTGTGGGTTTTTACCCCTCGACTATATGCTAATGTACGAACCGTTACGCGTTCGGATTATCCCCCTTGCAATCTCTCAAATTCGCTTCCCGGTCTCCTAAATGGCCTATGGTAATCTAGTTATCTTGCAGATATAGCTCTGTGGGATATTCATGCGGGTATTTTGCGATATGGTCCATGCACTCCTGATGTTGTTTTTGCAAGCGAGGGGGTGGTTTGTCATACACATCAGTAAACATGTCTTTCATAGGCGGTTTTAATGCTTTATCAGCTTTTGCGAGTGCTTGCATGACTTCTTGAAGAGAATCTCGCTTCCACTCCTCTTCCACTTCATTGTTCCACCAGTTTTTGTTCTCCATGTATCGTCTAGTAGTAAATGAAATAATATTTGAGCTTTGTCATTTGTTATAGACCCGAGAAATCCTGATAGATATATCCTGTCAATGCTTTATCAAGCCAGTACTCTTCGGAAATGGCGGGCTGATAGCTTAATACACCATGATTGAGCAGCGTTAAAGTAAACTCAAGCAGAAACGACGATGATAAAAGAAAGGATCAGTCAAAAGACGAATTAAACTCAAAACGTTTTCTACCTCTACTTGAGTCAAACAAAAAAAATTACTGTCCATTAAGATATCCAAAGTGTATTTAGTGAACTGGTGTGGTACCCCTTGACCAAGATACCATTTTACAGAGGGGGAAGACTATTTGAAACAGTGATCATTCTGGGAAGTTGGAAATGATAACCGCCCCCCCCCCTCCCTCAAGACAGGTGACCCCTTCAATAATAAAGAATTGCTGATAAAGTAGCCCGGGGGCCCTTTTTGTAAGAACAAACTGTGGCTTGCAAGGTGTAGAAAATTTTGGCAAGAGCGAGCCCCTCTTATTTAGGGTCAGTTACAACGTATATTAAGTTAATGCAATAAATAAGATTTCTGGGACTTTGAAAAATGACCGCTTCTTAAATTGTTAGGTTTGTGGCCCATCAATGACACACAATGCATGATCTTTCATGATCGAGAATGACCAAAAACTCTTCAGCCCTCGATGTTGCGTGTAACCCATTGGTTAGAAAACTAAGAAAGTACACAATACAGTTTTGCCCCTGGGAACTTTGATAACCTTTTTTTTTTACTTACCTAAGCCTCACGATCGGATTAAGATCTTTTTGCCACTAATCGACTTCCTTTGATGACCGGTGCATTTCTTTATCGTCACTCGCCATAGTGCTGTGATCTCCAATCCTGGAGAAGAAATTTTGAGTAATTTTGATTTAGAAGCCGACAAAGTAGTATAGAGGGAAAATATTACTCCTGTTTTATAACCTGACATCAGTGTAGCGCTAGTCGGCGGTTACTGCCATTGTTTTCTTAGGCGATATATGTAATTAGAGCGCGAACCGTTTACTACCAATTTTAAATTTAACATACGTAGTATAGCGTGAGCCGATAACTCCTGCTTTTAAAAGCCGGCAAGAGGAGTAATTCGCGAGTCTCAAGTCGACATATGTCGAAACAACATTCACTCCTGACTTTAAATTCATCATAAGTAGTAAAGCATGAACCGATTACTCCTGCTTTTAAAAGCCAACATGAGTCGGCCGTTACTCCCTTCTGTTTTTCGGTCGACATATGTAGCACAGTGCCCACCATTTACTCCCGATTTTAAATTCAACCTAAGTGGTACAACACGAACGGATTACTCCTGCTTTTAAAAGCCGACATGAGAAGTATAGTGTAGAGTGGTTATTCCCGTTTTTTTCTACTCGTTATATAAATAGGGCGAGTCAGTTGCTCCTGATTTTAAATTCAGCACAAATCATTGAAAAATTTTCAAGTTTATTAATCTTATAAACAGCTCCGGCTTGCCGTCATTGTATTTATATGACTAAAATCGATATAGAACTGGATTAAAGTTAGTTGGGAGAGAGGGAGACATTTTTGACTGTTTAGGTTGTACTAGCTACATCTGAACTATGCGGTTTAGCTATTGGCGTATATACTTCGCGCAATTGAAACTTTCTGTCTCATATACAACATTTTTAATAGAGTAAATATTAATAAACCACGGAAAAGCAAGGCCTCTCTCGGTTGTTAGAAAGTTTAACGACGTTATTAAACCACAAAACACAAGCCATTTTGTTGTTCTAACGGCACCGCACCTGAGGTATCAATTGGCACCTAAGGTACACTACAAAACCACATGCCCTTAAAGGGTGTGTTCCTTTAGGGAGATCTACATCATGAACATCGCCGGATAAAAGGAAGCGATGAATCCCCGCCCAGAGTGGATCCATCGGAGCCTTCAATACACCATAATCCCAGTGACCTCGGATCACCGATCTTGTTCCGAATCATTCCGAAGGAATACACTGAATAGTAAACTTCGCAATTTGCTTTATCCTTAGATGCCCAGAATTTACTCTTAAAACAACTATTCTTAAGACTTTCAAAAAATTCATTCCTGCCTCTGACAGTTTCCAAAAGAGATGGAAGAGATGGTAATGACCACCCTGTAATCCGAGTAATTTAACGACTTCTTTATCTTACCTGTAAGTCATGGCTTCAATTAAAACAGGTCTTTCTTGATTTACTGCAACATCACGTGCTGCTTTGGTGACGTTATAAACTGCGAAGACATCATTGCCATCCACACGAATTGTCATCATCTCATAGCCCCTGCCACGCCCAGCTTAAAATAAAGAATACAATATGCTTATCCTGCAGACTAATACACCTTACAGCTAGCCTGCGAGCAAGCTCTCAGGGGCGCTCTGGCGGCAGGGCAAGAAAAGGAAGGAGACTATGCAACTACGTCTCTGGAATTTGAATTCTACCTCCATTTCTCCCGTGGCCCCCCTTCGACTGAGCGCGAAGCGGAAACGAGCGCGAATGTAAACAAACATTGAAAAACACCTTCCAAGGGTAATGATGTCATCACTAATGTCATCTCCGCCAATCAGCATTTCGCATGGACCTTTTCGTTGCAGCTATTCTAGCCTACGTGTAGCCGCTACGTGTAGAGTGAATGATCGAGTCTTATAAGGTGGTTCCAACTTTTGAGTCTTTGGACGAAATCCATGGTGTGACCATTCAAATGACAGTATTTTTTCCGTCATTATACAAGATGAAATTTGAAATTCCTGAAATGTTTACTTTGTCAACTCTTGGAGGTAAAAGGTTAATGTGAACACAGTGAAATCTGTATTAAACGGGCACCCTCTATCGAGCAATCCATTTATTCTCCTTATTTACTTTATAAAGGGGCACCTCTATTAAGCGGACGCAGATTCCTAAAAAGTGGATGCAGTCGTCATGTCTATTGTTACATTCTTGTATCAAACGAGCACTTGTCATTAGATTCCGCAGTCGAAGATGACAGACACCTAAAATTCTGGCTTAAGATTTCCACCCACAAATTTGCACAACACGATCGTTCCAAAAGCCTACAATGACCTTTTACTTTTGTACTTCTAGCGTAAGGTTCACTAACCTATTCCATCTCCTCTGTATTGCTCATCCGTAGGAGTAGATATTGCATAGCCATTGTTACGACTGTTGATACAAAGAGAAATGCTGCTCAGTGAAGACAATTCAATCAAAAAGATAAAACACAAAAGACCAAAGTGTTTAAACGTGGCCTGAAAGGTGAGACTGATCATTGCCTTACAAGCTCGGTAAGATAAATGGTGGGTGCTATAAGTCCATTTTGAATTTAACTCCAACATTCTAACCAATAAGCAAAGTCAGTTTGTCAAAGAGGTTGTGAACAGTGCGAGGATGAAATCTGATGGTTGCAGATCAATGACTCAACTCAACTCAATTTTATTTTCTTGCCATGTTCTCATAAAAGGCTGGTCACCACCGTAGTATACGTCCTGTACTCTTTATGAATGGTAAAATGGGTCATTTTACGTCCCACAAAGGCCAAATCACTGAGGGTGATTTAAAAGGGAGCCTACACTACGGTTTTTAGTCCTTGTCTAATGACACTGGAATATTAATCCATCCGCATTTCGCCCGCGTGGGGTCAGGCAACACATTCTTTATCAATAATTTCACTTAAGACCCTGACTGTTTGTCCGACCGAAAATCGAACCCGGTCTCTTTCAACGTCTCTTCCTCAACCAACTGAGGAAACCTATCGGTGACACGCCTCGGACTACAAAACTGCATAGCCCATGTTAAGATAGTCAAAATTCAACTCACAACTTAGGTTATGTGCAAGCTCTTCAACTATAGCAATGTAAAAAGTTTACCAGAAGAAAACAACAGGTGCTTCCAGAGTTGAAGCAAAATTGAATGCTGCATGGGCATCTCCTTCGCTTGCGGTTCCTTCACCAAAGTAACAGATGACACAGTTTCCAGTGCCTGCTCTTTTCATTGCATAGGCATATCCAGTTGCTGAATCAGAAAGATATTGTCAGAGTTGCCGCATGTAAAGTAATTTTTTTTGCATGTGGAATCTGGAATCGTGGGCTTTGGAATCCGCAATTCATCTTAAGGAATCCAATCCCTAACCCAAGTTCATATGACAATGAACCCGGAATCAACGGCTCGTGGAATCCAGAATCCAAGTTTGTCTTGGATTACCTAACATAGGCCGGGGACGATAGGGGAGATTTGGGAAATTTACCATAGCCCACTTTTGTTATATTAAAATTTTGTCATGACTCCGAGGCTTTAGGGCCGAAATTGCAAATTTGTCACGACTCCATTGTGTCGCAATTCCCAGAAGAGACTTGAGCACAAAGAAAACCAAACCAAATATAGAAAAATGACCAGAAAGTCTCGGAGTCATGACAAAATTCTAATATAACAAAAGTGGGCTATGGTTAATTAATATAGAGTAATTTTACTTGAACCATGAAACAGATACTAACAACTAGTGCAAAAAAGCAAGTAGTAAACAAAACAAGACAATGGGATTAGTGCGTAATAGTACATAGTATAGTATAGTGCATAGTAGTAGTTCAAGGTTTAAGTAAATAAAATCACTTTGTTTTATCAGAAACGGTAACATAATAATTATGTTACCTTTTCTTATGAAATAAAGTGAAAAAATTAAAATCCCAATTGAATTGGGCAGTTTTTTAATCATAAAATGTGATCTGTTCATTGCACCGATTAAAATCAAATTTATGTACTGTTGACCAGTGTTAGTTTAAGTGTTTTTACTGATTTGACAAAAGGAAGCGCTAATTGGATGGCACCCGAGTAGGGTTACAAGAACCAGAATTCGAGTTATCGGGGTAAATTTCAGTGAATCGAGGGAAATGAATTAGTTAGAGCTAGAAGGGAATTCGAGTTATCCAAGTAAATATGACTAAGAAGTAGGGTGAAATCCAAGGGAAATTGGACTTAGCTCGACTTAGTAGAAAGTTCGAGTTATCCGAGGTTCTACTTTATTTTCGCGCTCGTATTACAAGTTTTGACATGCCCTATGACACAAAACATGTAATCACGTGGTGATTACTTAAATAAACGTGGACCTCATTTAAGGGGCGAGTGTACACAGACTAATCTCATTTAATTTCAGGTATCTCTTAACCTTAACTTGCATCATACTGTTGTTACTAGTAATCTACAATCTGATGTTTCAAATTCAAAGGTAACCTTTACATAACACAGTTAACACTTGCTAACCTTGTGGCATCTGAGTAGCAAGGGGGGATGAAATAGTAACAAAATTAAGATCTTTAGAACCATAATGAACAGGCATTTGTCGTCCTTTTCTGTTATCATTCCGATTAGAAAAGCACTGGCTCATGTATTCGTCTATTGTGAAGCCTCTTGACATCAGCACACCAGCCTCACGGTACTGGGCGAATATTACATCTTCAGGCAACAGAGCAGCCGCGCTACCAAA